TGATTCCCAATCATTGTTCAAATTGTTGATTAGCTTTATTTTCAATGTTCTTCTCAAACATTTGGGACAGCTGAATTTATTGGTGGTCTTTCCTCCATGCATCACTTTATAGTTGCTGAAAAGGAGAGATTTTGGCTCGTTGGATTCGGTCTCGTTGAGCCGTTCGTTTTCGGCATAAGCTGTTCAAAATCGGGAGAACGTATTGGTACTCAAATTGCAGTTTGAACTTTCCAACAGCTCTTTAAACCTTATCTCGCGACTCAATTGGACTCGGAGTGGTGAATCTTGGTTGGTTTGTATTTCCGAGAGCGCATCAGTATGACATACCAAGCTCGCTAAATCGGAGTTCCATATTGCTCCCGAAATTAATTTTTGAAGTTTCAAACTAGCTTTTGCCTCGAGATTCGTGCCCGATCAAGCTAATTTTAAGATGAAGTATCAGTTGCCCCCCTATTTTCGGACGTCGAAGCTCCATCAATGTAAAATGATTAATAAAGATTAAACATGGACTTCTTTCTAACTGCACCTCCTTTTTTATACATCTATCATCCCATTCTTCTTTTATTAAATTTCCTCCTTCAATCCTTCCCTATAGCTATACCAATCTAAATAGATTTTATTTAGTTTCTAATAGATTAGAAATCCTTAATTCATGCTAAGGGTTGCCTAATTTTATCTCTTGAACTTCTAAGAAATCTTCAGAACTTTCTGTAGGTGTACTAATCAAATGTCGAAGCATCTAGTTAAAGCTATAAATTTATATTCATTTTTCAATATACTAATCATCCTCCTTGCACGAATCTCATAAATATATCATGTATTAATTTGTTAGTCTTACAAATGGTAGTACAAAACATTCACTAAATACATCTATAAACACAATCATAAATTATAGAATTAGCCTTTCATGAAAATTTTCTTGTTGGCCAACCATCTTTTTGCTTCTCCTTCAAACACATACAATCTAAGAAAAGTTCACTAATCCTACTGAGTACTTATTTCAGCAAAATACTTTTATATTTCTAAATAACTGATTTTCAAGCTAAGGGTAGGTTCTATCTTACCTTCAAACAAGGCGGTTTCATACTTTGAAGTAACTGATGTCTATCAAACCATTTCATCTATACTCGTTCATTCTACTTTGTGCATTTCATGATAACTATGTTACTATATTAGATAACTAAATTATTAAGTTTAACAATATTTCTAAATACCTTTAGTTTCCAACATATTATTATCAATCAGCTTATTCACGTTGCATTATTGATTGTTTAGAACTTTGATCATTAGTGAAATTCTATTGTTTGTTTACGAAAATAGTCCAAACAACTATTAAACAAATATATTTATTGCGTATGCACATTAATTTTAGGACAAGTTCCTTAATTTATATTTTAAACAATTGGGAGCAATGTAATATATTTATTGCGTATGCACATTTTATTAATTTTAGACAAGTTCCTTAATTTATTTTAATTTCTACGTTGCACAAAATTGATTTTTTGTCATATTGATTTATAATAGCAATTGAGTAGCAATGTAAAATGATTAATAAAGAAAGCTCCTGCTTCATAAACTAACTTGAGATTAACTATTATGAATCTAGATAAAAGGAAGACAAGTTAAAAGAAGGAACAATTGCGCAAACAATGAAATTTTTGGCTGTTAAGTTCTCTCTTTTTTTCTTATTTCAGAAAACGGAGTTTAAATTTATTATTAATTTTCTACGATTTATTTTATGTTGTGCTATGTTGATTTGTTATTAGTATTGTTGCTTTAGATAGTTCAACTTAAATTTTTTTTAATAGGAATCCAATCATTTATTTTGATTAATATGCAAGTTAATGTCAAAATTATTTTGAGTGTATGGATTCAGCTTTATTGCTACACGCATAAGGCAATAAAGATTTGTCCTAAATAGATCCTTACTCTACCATATTTGTCCTAAAGTTTATGTTGTTTTTCTGTTTTCCTAAGGCTAGCCATTTTACTGCTTTTAAGATTAAAGATGTATGTGATATTCTATCAGATTATGTGACAGTCTTAATGTTGGGACTAAATCGAAATAGTTTTTCAAAAGTTGAGAACCAAAAATGACACATTAAATTTCATGATGCAGTGACATTCAAATAATTCAAAACTTTCATGATTGAATTCGTTGGACCAATTTGATTGATAAAATTGTATGGGCAAAAGTAAAGCTCGAATAAGACTTCTGTGTTGTATCCCAACACATTTGACGTTTTAACGCACTTTCATAGAAATTGATTAAACTCAAAATAATAATATAATAAAAAATAAAAGAAATTGATTAAACGCAGTGCACATGTTGTAGAACACAATCAATAGTGTGCTCAAGAGTTTGAAGATTATATAAAGCAATACAAGTAAAAACAAAATTGGGAGAATTAATCATTTTCATACTTGTTGGTGGATTCAAACTAACTCAGTGAAGATGTAATTGTTTTTGTGGGACGTGTAGTGCAAAGTGACAGGATATGCAATTGAAAATCGGAGCATAAATAGAGTGAAGTAAAGTGTTGCATTGCATCATGAACTCATCAATTAATATATAAGCTAAAAATAATAGAAAATTGGAGCACAATAGAAAGCTTAAGAATTGGTACAAATGGTTAGCACAAATGACTATAGATGTAATGGTTAGCACAAAGAAACAGAGCAAATATAAATATATATATATAATATTATATATATATTATATATATATATATAGAGAGAGAGAGAGAGAGAGAGAGAGAGAGAGAGAGAGAGAGAGAGAGAGAGAGAGAAGAGAGAGAGAGCTTTTTCAATCATTGCTAACTTCAACTAAAATTTAATTGACTTGGACAGAA